TTGAAGTTATTCAGTTATTTAACAAAATGTTAATATTTTGTTTTTCTTTTTTTTTTTGATAATTTTTTTTTTAATTTGAAGTAATGCAATTGAAATTGTAATACTAATTTAAGTGATATTTGATTTTTGAATGTTATAATTTTATAAGTGAACAAAACGGTCAAGAAAAAGAAGGAGAAAGAGAGAGAGAGAGAGAGAGAGAGGCCAAGCTATTTATTTTTATTCGACTACATATTAATAATGTTAGAATCTTTACTTTGATAAATTGCTAATGCGATGAAGTAAGCAAATTTTTTATCTTTTATTGACGGTGAAATGATTCATCGTCTTCAATATTCTCAAGATAAATTCGTAATCAATTCGATAACATAAGTCAAGCTGACTTTTAAATGTACTTGAATATGACCTGAAATTCATCAATCCCAGCAAACAAACTGCGTAACTTTATATATAATAAATTTTAGAATACTTATTAGAGGAAGAGATGCTAGCTATGTAGTTTTTAATAAAAAATTATTAATCTTTTTTATTTGTACAAAAAAAAAGAACTAAGGCTCGTTGAAATACTTACATTATAGAAAAATGTACAAACTATGCTAAAATAAAAGTACCATTTTCATACAACAACAGGTGAAACATAAATAATATTAACTTTAACCGAGATGTTAGTCGAACATAGAAATGAAAATGAAGAAAGTAATTGATGTACTAAGTAGATCACATATGGAAGTTTAAAAACTAAATACAATCACTTATCATTCACCATAAAATACGAATAAATATTTCCATCTCAGAGGTTCCGATATTGCCTGTTACTAATTACATTAGAAATCTTAATTTTACACATTTATTTATTGATTAATAAGAAAATTTTTTCTTATCCTATTATTTATTCCATTCCTTATCCATCCAATCTTTCACACTAACATTTAAATATGATTGTAATATAAAATTAAAAAGCTCCATTGAATTATCAATTTTTTTTTTCTTCAAATTTTAATAAGCATATAAATAAATGATCAAGCAGGCGGAATTCGTACAACATGTAAATTTTATCTGTGAAATTACGAAATTTTAGAAGTTAGCAAATGTGCAAGAGGGAAAACTTCTAAAATATAATACAAAATCGAATTTCTTTTTCCGTCTCCATCTCTTCCCTCTTTTTCTTCCCCGCTTTTTGTTTAAATTTATTACTAATAGCAATAATAGAAACAGTTATTTTAGTGGAACAATTAGAGTTAATCACTTACTAATGTTAACTGATAACTCGATAATATCAATCTTTTTGTTAAATAAATTAATTCAAAAAAACTGCCGTACAATATTTGAAAATCTAAACAATTCATTTGTTGAATTTTGGTGTATCATTTAAAGGAAACCGCAATAATTTAGCATTATGAAATTCATTTGACGAATACACAACCAAACTTTACTATTAGAAATTCAAAAATAAAAACTTCAATAATGATTTGTTTCAAATAAAATAATCAATAATGAACTATTTCAAATAAAAAACAACAATTAATTGTTTCAAAAATAGTCAATAATGAATCGCTCCAAATAAAACAATAAATGAATTTGAACGAGATGTACACGACAAGAAATGCTTTTTCAATTGAGCAAGAAATTATGGTAAGCTTCTATAATCCAATTTGAGCAAGACATAAAATTTGTACTTACAAATTTCAGATATGCAAGTATTAATTCTGCAAATTGGACAAAAGAGAATACAGATAATATGCGTATAAAGCTAAAATCCATAGTCTTTTCTTACAACTGGAAACGTGAACTTTCCACATATAAGCTTGATTATTGCAAAAAAAAGATAGGAAAAATTCAATAAACACTTCACAAACAAACCAAAATTTTAAAGTATGAGCTTGCATACCGACAAGAGTCATGGTAATCCATATTTGGAATGAAGTCCGAGAAAAATATCAGAAGAAGCTAGGTGAAGTGCTTATTGAATTAGAACGCTCTGCTAAATAATGCTCTCCTAGTATGCTTATCTTCCAATTAGAAAAGCTTTAATTATGTCTAATTATTTATGTTAAGACAATTGGAAAGTTTTTTTTT